TTTTGTTTGTTTATTTCGGTAATTGTTTATATATATTTTATTCCTTTAAGTTTTCGTTTTTCATTAGTTATTGCAAATGTCGAAATTGGTTGCAATAACTATCAATAATGCTTATTAGGAAACTTAAAAGACGTTATTAGCTTACAGAAATGCGTTTCCGAGGTTGGGGTCGTCGAGGGGCAGCTTTGCTCTTTCCTCCTTTATATGGACCACCACCGGGGTCAGGTCATTCTATTCCAGTATTTGCATGTCGTCCTATGCCTTTTGACTTGGTATTATGTGAAGCGAGTTTTCCACGAATTTCTGAAGCAGACGACACTGACCTTGCACAGGTACTCTATTCTTTTTTGCTGCAAAACAAATTTTTTAAATTCCTTTTATTTTTTTGTGCAGTATTCTTTTTAATTCATGGTTATAGGCTATATCCAAACGTCATCAGGAAATTACACCAGTACCAGCAGAACAAACTGCTGTTCTTGGCTTGGTGTCAAAAATCAAAGCTGCAATCGAAAAGATCTCCTCTACTCCAGATCTTCTTCCATCTGTAGTAAGTCGATCGTTAAAGTAAATATTCATTTTTTTTTCAAAAATAAATTTTTAAGTAATCTAGTAATTAAATGACCGTCTGGCATTCAGATTAAGAGTGGTACTTTACAGAGGAGTGTCTTGATAAATTCTTTTTTAGATTGTCAGATAATTTGTGTTGATAAGTTGTAACAGTTTTCGAGATTTTAAATTGTTTTCTGTGTATCCTTCTCACTCTATTTTTAGACAATCGAAGAATTTCGTGAGGTGGGCTCATTTCGAAAAGGGACCATGCTTGCAGGACATAACGTTGCAGATATTGTAGTGGTGTTACGCTCACTTCCTACAGGTATGCTGTGAGGCAATTTTTCAAATTTGTACTGATCATTCGAAAATTAATTTCAATTTTGGAATGTTTATCTTCGAAATTTCTTCGGATTTGAGTGGTATTTCAATCGTAATTACAAGCGACCTATCTAGTTTATGATATCATTTTTTTTTGTTAGGTATTAAAAGTGCATATTCGAGTGCTAAAGTCGTTTGTTTGTTAATTGCCTGAAGTAATTCATATTTTTTTAGTAGAGGCTGTATCATCTCTCGGGCAAAAAATTGTTGAAGAATTAAAAGCTAATGATAAGGAAGGTCAGTTTTTTATTTACCATTTTTTTGTATTGTAGGAAACAGTAATGTTTTTTAGTCTTGACATATAAAATTGTAAAACTTGGGCTGTTTTCTATCTTTTCTTTTTGGGATAGTTTTGTTCGTTTTTTTCTCTGTTTACAAACTACATATCTAAATTTATTTTCTGTTTTAGTATATAGCTGTGTTTCTCGAGATTTTGGTTGTCAAATATCTGGACCGAATGCAGTTGTTCGATTGTTAATTACCACAGTACCATCCAATGCTAAACTTCTCGAGCCTGATCTTCATTGTACGGGCTCACTGGCTATTTATGATTTAAAAAAAAAAATTAAGGAATCAAAAAATCATTGCATTTGATTAACTGTTATCTTAATTATAATTCGTGGGTGAGGTCATATAGTTTCAGTGGTGAAATTTTCCTTCAGTTGTGTTTAATGGTTTATTTTGTAGTAAAAGAAAATGTTATGATTTCACATATGGCCGCTTTAAGACATGCTAGATGGTTCGAAGAAAATGCATCAAATCCAACAATCAAGGTTAAATCGTGCTACAATGATACCATATTTATTATTTTGAAATTTCGTTTGTGCTCAAAGAAAGCTTAAATTTTTCAGATATTGGTTCGCATCATGAAAGATATTCGTAATCGTTTTGATCAACTTAGAGATTTGAGTGTTTGGAATATAGAATTAATTGTATGTTTTTTTTAATTTTTTTACTTCCACCAATTTTAAAAGTTATTTTTGAAAAAAATTTGAATGTAGAAAATTATTTCGTCATATTCTGCATTTATTCGCTAACAAAATTCTATATTTGAATTAAAGATGATGATGTAATTTTCGGGAAAGTTACTTCTGATTTGCTTGCGAAGAAAACGAATAATAATTAGCAAATCAATATAGTAGATTTTCTTTTCTTACAAGATATGTTTTAGTCACATTATGCAGTGATCAATACAGCAACACAGCAACCATTATCGGCGAGTCAAGCATTCCGTCGTTTTTTTCAACTCCTTGCTGCAGGTTTATTGCTCCCCACTTCACCAGCTTTGAGTGACCCGTGTGAACAAGCTCGTCGTATCCATCAGTCCCTCACTTATGAGCAGATGGTTAAATAAATTTTCCTTTGCTTGTTTGATAATTTTAACTTTTTGACTTTTTCTGGAATTTGACGGCAAAAAACATTTCAGAATTTTTCATTCGGAAAGTATTTCTCCAATCTATTTTTAAGTATTTTTAATATTATTATTCATGCTAAGTTTAGTTTATCACATTTTGCTTTTTATTGAAAATTTTGTTCACATTTGCAGTTATCAATTTTAAGGATCAGTTATGCAGTTCATCCCAAACTTTATTGCGAATTATTTGTCACGGTGGTTATAAACATGTCTTAGGATTGGAGACTTCAAAAAGTGGTAAATATTCATGAAATATCACATTTCTAATATTGTTTAGCAGGGACTAAGAAAGTGTTATCTGATAAATAAGTCATACAACTTGATGAGAAATTTATTGAATCGATCAAAAAACTAGTTGAAGTTTCTAGAGTTTTTGTATGTTATCTGTTTTTCTAGGGCTAGTTAGCGACATGACTTTTTGGGGTGATGTTATTGTTACCCCGTTAGAAGCAGCTTATGTTGATAGAGTGATGGAACCAATGTACGACGAGGAAGTCAATTTTGAAATGGTAGATGAAGCAAAGGCTGATGGGATGGATACTTGATATCGGAACCGTTTTGTGAGATATTTGTTTTTAAACACTGCTGATTAATATTCGCATTCAATTTTTACATAATTATATTCTTTGATGATTTTTCATTTACTGTATGCGCCAGTTTAAATTCAAAGCTCTTGCAAAGTTCTGATCGCGATCGTTCATGGTTTGTTGTTTCATAAAGTGTTTTCACGCTTTGAAATTTACGTAGTTTCATTCTTGTTGCCTGGTGCAGTATTTACTAAAATACGCTGAAGTGCAGAGCTCATAATCGAATAAAATTGTTGCACAGTTGTTGTTTGCTTTTTGCTTTTGTTACTTCTGAAAAGCATTTGTTTTTACTGTTTGAAAATATAATTTATCGGTAGATTGATGTGGGAATCGTTGTATATGAAAAAATCGAGGGAAGTGTTAATTTATTTCTGGCAAGGAATATGAGGTTTCGTGGTAATCATTGACTTGAAATATTAGTTTTTAGTAGTTCATTTTTCTTTGATCTTCATAACTGGTTATTTTGCGAATTTATTTGCAGCTTCCAACCTTATGTCACATGCACGTCTGTCGTCAATAACTAGTGTTAGTGATTTGGTTCTACCCAAAGCACTTGATATTAATACAATTACGGAAACTTTGAATAAGATATTTCCTTCGCTTCAATTAGTTCCTGCTGATATTCAAAGACCTACGGTGAGTGTTTTATATTCTCTGTGAGTTTTCTTACCATTGTCCAAAATATTTGAATTTCATTGCCTGAAAATTTTTATTCAGCTTGCTCTCATTTATTTTTGTTCCCTCTGGAAAACTAAATGCGCTCTCTAGAAAAGCTTGATAGATTTAATTTTCGTGAGACATTCATAATGCAACATTGAATGAATAAGAAGACTTGTGATACATAGCTTTTCTTTATTATGTAATCAAAAATTTAAGCAGACTAATTTATAACTTATTGACTGATTTACATATAAAGTTACAAGTAGGAAACTATTAGTACGCCTATGATATTATGATAACAAAAGGCTGACAACAAAATGATATTTATTGACCTTCTAATGTGTTAAATTTCTTATTCTACTTTTGCTCTCGCTTGTTGTTTGATTCAAAGTATTTTTTAGGTCTTTGTGATGACTGCTGTGTACCAGTGTATCTCTCAATATATTATGGAAATCCCAGATGCCATTTACACTACACCACCATTTGCATCTAACACTCGCAACGATACAGATTTATTTACTCAGGCGTACCCAAAATTAGTCATCTTTCGAGCATTGTTAGTTCATCATATTTTTATATCTACCTATATATTAGAATCTTGAAATGATTTTGATTCTTTGATCTTTAATAAAAAGTGATGGCCCACAATTTTTTGTCTCATTACTTGTAAAGTGTCCACATTGAAATGTAAGCAGAAAAAGCAATTAGTTTTAAAGATGGTAAGGATTATACACTTTCTTTCAAAATAATATGGAATTAAGTTCAAAAAGTATTTGAGGTCTGCTATTGTTGAAGATGTTTCGTCAAATGAAATTGAGTTCAGTTTTCTTGATCTAATTGCTCCAGATCCTGTACGAACACGGTTTCTTCTTACGACACTGCTTAGCTATATTGATTTCACTTCTATCGCTGCTGAAGTTAGTTTAGTGTTGATTACATTTTTTATTTGCTTTACAAACTGCCCATAATATTCGGGCACTCATGTCTAAATATTATTCATGAAAATTATGCTCATTGTGATCTTCATAGTAATTGTAGACATCCTTTATTTTTTGTCAGTTTGCTTTTATCTAAGATGCACAATGCTAAATATTTATCAATTGAAAAGAAACCCATTTTTGGTCCCCCGTTTTTTGGAGCTTTCGCAGTTTTGATAAGATTATGAAGGTTCAGATTTTTTCTGTTCTATTGCTCTTGCTAAATTTAATCCAAAACTTTTCAATCTTTCTTACAATCAGAAGTTCAAAGAATTTTTTTAGTGTGATTATTTTTCCAAGGTCATCATCACTTTACTTTAGTTCTGTTTGATTTTAATATGTACAGCAGGTAACTTTTTGTTATTATTTCGAACCTGATGATTGCAAAGTGTTAAATAAAAAGTTTTCTAATTTAGGAAGCCCACAGAATATTCACTTCAGTCGATGAACGTAAGGCTAGACTTGAATCCAAAAAACGTATTAAAATTGAGCTCACTAATGAAATATCACGTATTCAAGCTGATGCACTCAAACAGAAACTTGTGGAGAAGGAGGTAACTAAATTCTTGTTTGTTTATATTTGATGGTAATGGTTCATCACTCATGTCATTATAAAATAAGCTTTCTTTTTTTTAGTTTTGAAGATTACTTATGCACTTAATTTTTAGTTGCGTATGGTAAATCACTATCAAAAAAAATTTTTTTTTGTCTGCTGTCGTTTTCCTATTGATATTGTCAACTTCAATATTTAATTTTATGCATTCATTTCAGTTTCGTGAAAAAATGGAAAAACTTGAGCTCAATGTTAAAGAAACGTTTCTTGAGACTAAAGTTATTGAAGAAGATCAAAAAGATGTTGATGAAGTCAATGCTGAAAACGAAAATAAATTGGTTTGTTAGAAGATTACAGAAAGACTTTAAATTATGCTATGCGTAATTTCTGCTTCATTGATCAAATCGTTTGTTTTTTCTTTTTAAAACTCACTTTGTTCCAAGTGGACTGCATTTTTACGTTTTTATTGAAAAAATTTCACAGATTGAACTACAAAATGAACTCAAACGACTAAAGTCGCAAAATGAAGTTTATGATCGAGACATTATCGAATCACCAGATCGTTTAATTGGAGAACTAAATGAATTAAAGAATTGTTTGGATAATATCCAAAAGGATATTTCTATGGAATGGTTTGTTTGGCTTATTATTCGTTATGGCAGCAGACAAATTTTTATTGATTAGATGTGGGGAAGATTTGGGAAGTATTTGCAGTTATCATGGATTTTTATGCCAATGGTC